CATACAAGGGTTATTGGGGTTGACCGGTTTGACTTGTTGACTTTGAATTGACCGAAATTTGACGGTTGTCACAGAGACTGTTGGATAAGGTGTCTAAGTCCGTAACTATATTTGGTATGCACTTGACCCGACCCCGCATGGTCTATTTGGGTTGCACTTCACCGAACAATTTGTATGGATATACTTTTGAGAATAAGATGTTTATGATGTATTAATATATTATAAGTTATAATATATTAATATGAAATCATATTATTTAATTAGTATTGATCAATAATTAATTTGGAATTAAGTTAGTGATCAAATGAGACTAATTAAATATGGACTCTTACATATATATGGATTGGGCTAAGATTTATTTAGGATGGGCTAAGAGTATATGAAGTCCATGGATAGTCCATGGAGCTTTTAACCCATGGATCCTATGTAAATGAGAGGTCATGGGTATTAGGTTTTGCATGCATGTAACCCTAATCCTCCATACTATATAAAGGGGTCTTTAACACTTGAAATGGGACTAGTGTGTGTGAGCATAAGGTGGGTCGATTTCTATATAGTGTTCTTATTCTCTCAAGAGCTGCCAACTTGTTTTGGTGATTTGTGACACCACTTGAGGCATCCACACTATTGGTGTTAGGCTCATAAACTCCAAGCAAATCACTACAAGAAAAGGTATGTAATTCTATCTAGAATTTTTGTTATTCATGTACCTAGGATTGCATGCTAGATATGATAAGGCTTTGGAAATCAATTTTGCATGTATAATAGAAAAAACATAGTTCCAAAGCTTCTAGGGTTGTATGTGCCCCTTAAGGTTGTTAGGATGCTCAAAAACCCAACAATAAGTTAAAACATTTCAAGAACTGCCGATTCCAACATTTCAAGAACCGCCGGTCCTGGTTCCGGTTCCTGAAAATTAGGGCGGGTACCTGCCTATGCTCACCCCTAAATGTAACTCACATTATGGGATTTTTGGGTCATTACATAAGGTGCCTCTATATGAGAATTTTACTAGTTAGATTTACGCTCCCAGCTTTCCCCAAGTAGTCGCCCCTTGCGACCGACAACTTGGGCGGAGATGGACCGGAAGGTACGAGGCGGATTGAGGTCCTAATACCGTAGAAGTACTGAGATAAGTAGAAGCGACTGGAGAGTCAAAAGACGAATCCCCATAACTCTTTGTTTCACTAACAACGACACTAAGGCTATAATTGTCAAACCTCTGGCTCCGGTGTTCGGATTCATAACCAGATGATAAAACTTCAATAGATGGAATAAAAGCAATGGTTTGTTGATTAGAATATGGTGAGTTTGGAGTAATGAATTGTTGTTGGTATGATTGGGGGTGTGTCAGGGACATTAATATTTGTTTTTCGATGGTGGTACACCTTCTTTAACTTTTGATTGGATATAAAGGAAGCCATGTCAGCTCAAATCGCTTATGTGGCTTAAGAAACATGTTATATAAGGTAGCAATGACCAAAAAAGCAGGTAGACATCCACTTTATGTCCCCATAAAGCAACAAAATAACTTTAGGGACTGAATCTATGGGTGAGCAAAAACCGAACCGATAAAAGAAAAACCACAAAAACCGCAACCGAAAAACCGAAACCGACGCAAAAACTGATGGTGCGGATTTTATTTTTTTGAAAAACCGAATTTATTAGCGCGGTGCGGTTTTTATCTAGAAATCGGACCACCAAAATCGTACCGCACCACAAGCTTATTAACAATAAAATAAATCACTAATTTATATTATACAATTATACATATTATTTAAAAAACTAATAAATTCTAATATATACATATATTATATATTGAACTTGATGGTAATTAGTAATTAGGTATTAAGTTTAATATATGAGTTTGTCACTTTGTGTTTGTGACTTAATGATTATGTGTAAAGTGTAAACACTATGTGGGCTACAACTTACAAGCTTGTAACTTCTAAGCACAAATTGAATAAAAAATGAGCTTGAGAATATGGGTTGCAAATGAAGTGATCAAGTAAACAACATAAAAAACTCAAAATTGCAGCTTCTAAATTTGAGGAAACGAAATGATACCATGCCATACAATCTTTAATCTTCACATAAACGTAACGGTTAAAAAATCGTACCGGTGAACATAAAAAACCGCACCATACGTTTGACTCGGTTTAAAACCGACACCGAACCGGTACAAACCGAAACCGCACTAAAAAACCGCAAAACCGAACCATTAAAAAACCGCACCCAACGGTTTCTAGAATTCAAAAACTACACCTTGCGGTTTGCGGTTCAGTTTGGCCCTAAAATCGCACCAAACTGCATCATGCTCATCCCTAACTGAATCGACCAACTTTGAAAACATTATAAGACTTTTGTATCATTTCCCCAATAAATAAACTTTACTACCTTCTCCGTAATTGGCTCAAATTGTAATGGTTTTTTGTATTTTTACCCCTATTCAAAATAATAACATGCTCTCGAGTTCAAATCACTATTATTAACGGATAATAATAATGCTCTAGAATTCAAATAACTACTGCCATGCTCTAAATTCAAATCCCTAATAACCGGACTTAACATATATTTGTTTTATATATATTTATTAATGAAGAATTAATTTCATATAATAAGAAGTGACAATGGTTGTGAGAATGTATAAATGATTATGGTCAAATTGAATCGACCAGAATCATTTATACATTTCGCACTCATTCTTTATAATTTAAAACTAATCATACTTATGATCATGTAGTTTATCTAATATCCTAAGATAAAATTGTTTTTGTTTTTATTTTAAAACTCATAAGAACATTATCGATACAAATATAAATATGAATCTTTTATGTGACATTTAATATTTCATATGACAAGAGTTTGTACTTTTTGTATGATAGTTTACGCGTTTGATACAAACCGTACATGTCATTGGGTCTCAATTATAGGTCACAAAATTTGATGTGTACTCACCGATTTTCAAAAATAATTGTAATTAAATAATCAGTCGACACAATCGTGGCTCCTAGGATTGCAATGTTTTCGTCTCATCGAAGGTTCTTTGTAATTTCGCTTTTAAACGACAAAATATATCAAAAAGTGTATGCGAAAAATTATATCTAATAATCCATACCTTTTTAATTTTTTATCCTTTACTAACATTCAACTATATAACAGATTCAATCGTATAAAGTCTGCTTGACATGATATAGAAAATGGCGATTAAACCAACTAAATATATAGAACAACAAAAGTATAAAAAAGTGTCTTTTATTTGTATGGAAATGTTCGGCAAACATAGTTGTAAGCTTTTATCAGGTTTAAAATAATATATAATATAAAAGCTAAAAGTTAAAAGTTATGAAAGATACTTAAAGTAGTTTTGTATTTAAAGTTTTTTTGTTTAGATTAGAATCCTTTAAACTTTTACATCGGAACAAATCTTTTTCTAACTAATCTTTTTCTGTAATTTGAGTTTTTCCCGAGTAAAAGTTAAAATCTTATAAAAGCTCTGCCACCCGCATCTCCCATGAGATAAATGTTTGTACGACTTAGGATTTATCAATCATAATCATACTCTGAACACTTATTTCATCAATATTTCAGTGTCAGATTTCTTTATTTTGCTTCGGGTCAAATTATTTATTTAGGTCATCAAATTTCAAATCACACGTTAACACAAGTTCTTGTACGTTAGATCTCAACTAATTATATATTTTGAGCTCGTTCGACAAAGTCAAGCTCGATAAAGTTCGACTTACACTAATAAGCTCGAGTAGAGTTATAAAGGGTCCAAACCGAAACAATGGGTAAAGTAGAAGGGTGCAAGTGTCAATTCAGGATTTCAGTAACTATTAATTGGGTGGTTGTCCACTTGTATGGTCTTGCGTCAAGTCAAAATGTCAACTTGTTGACCTCGCTTGAGCGAAATTTCATAGATTCTCAATTGAACTTTCGTCGATCAATCGTCATCTCTTCGAATCTCTGGAGAGATTTTACAATTACTTTCTGAAAACGAGTAAGGAATTTATGTGCGTGTATATATTGCTTCTCCGATCGACGGGTTTTCATCCTCAAACTCATTCGTTTCCCTTAAATTCATTCAGATTTACCCGCGGTAGATCGAATTGAAGTTCTGATCTTTGAAAAGGTATTTTGTTAAGTTTACACTCGTAATATCTTATCCTTTCCTTCTTAATCGATTCAAAGTCGCTGCATAGAAAACAAATCGATGGTATTGTTGTTGACTCGTTACTATTCCAAGGTTATCTAAACCTGATTTGTATGTAAAAGACCATTAAAGATAAACGATTCGTAAGGTTTCTTAATACTTTAACCTTCATTATCAAACATAAAGCCATGCTGATTGCTGATATATATTTTGTTGCGTATTCAATGTTGTAAACTTTTAAGTGTTAACTTTTTCCTCCAAACCGACCTCAAAAGTCAAACTGTAGCTTGTTTACTTCGACACGAAACTGTAATTTTATCACTTTATAAAAATAAAACCAAAATTCATTTAACCATTCTGATTGTGTTTCAATTCTTTCTTTCCTCTATTTAAATTCAGTTGATTAGTTAACTGAGTTTGCTTTTAAAATCTTCTCAGGAAATCTGATCCACTCAACAAACACAAATCAATCATGGGGTATCTAGATTCAGTGATATCATCCGCCAACCCAAATCTTCCCGGTTGTGGTGTTTCTCCGGTCACCGGAGGTGGTCTCAGTCAAGATTCAAAGTTTAGCTACGGCTACGCAAGCTCCCCTGGAAAAAGATCTTCAATGGAGGATTTTTACGAGACAAGAATCGAAGGTGTGAATGGAAAGCAAATCGGTCTCTTCGGAGTCTTTGATGGCCATGGTGGAGCTCGAGCTGCAGAATATGTGAAACACAATCTTTTCACCAATCTTCTCAAACATCCAAAGTTCATCTCCGACACCAAATCAGCCATAGCCGAAGCATACAGTCACACCGACAAAGAATTTCTAAAATCAGAAAACAATCAGATGAAAGATGCAGGATCAACCGCCTCCACTGCCATTATCGTTGGTTCGCGTTTACTTGTCGCAAACGTGGGGGATTCCAGAGCTGTTATTTGTAGAGGTGGTAACGCGTATCCTGTTTCTAGAGATCATAAACCGGATCAAAGTGATGAACGAAGAAGGATTGAAGATGCGGGTGGTTTTGTTATGTGGGCTGGGACTTGGAGAGTTGGTGGTGTTCTTGCGGTTTCACGTGCTTTTGGTGATAGGTTATTGAAACAGTTTGTGGTTGCTGATCCGGAAATTGAAGAAGAAAAGATTGATGAGTCGCTTGAGTTTCTTATACTTGCTAGTGACGGACTTTGGGATGTTGTCACAAATGATGAAGCTGTTGCGATGATTAAACCGATTCAGAGCCCTGAAGACGCAGCAAAGATGCTGATGCAGGAAGCTTCACAGAGAGGTAGTGCAGATAATATTACAGTAGTCGTTGTACGTTTCTTGGATAGCCAAGATGCATAAAACTTCTTCACCTTTAACGTTTAGGACATGACAAACAGCAAACAGGTTTTACTGTGTTTGACTTGGACTTAGACTGATGGTGGATCGTGATGGGAAAAGTACTCGTTTTATGGAAAAGACTCAAATAACCTCATCCTTGTTAGCCGATATAGCCCTATAAAACTCATCCAGAAATGGAATTCAAGTATTGCTTAGTTGTTTGAAGTTATGTATTGAAAGGTGTGTGTATGATTCCACAATTGATTTATCCTCTCTTTATTACTTGTTTTTTGGTTGTAAATTCTTTAGTAGCTTCTTGGTTACTCTTGTTCTTACTTTGCACATATTCAAATAATCAAATGTTCGTCTTTTTTATTGGATTCCTATATTCTATGTCAGCCAATCATTTATGTAGATAAAAAAAAGTTCCTCCAGGCTGTTCACTATTGTATGTCATAGTCATCTACTACTACAAACTTTTTTGAGACCATAAACTTACTTATTTTATAGAAGTTTTTGCGTTGTTTATAAATCGTTCCAAGTTTTGTGAACGGGTGTTGTTTGATTTATTTATTATCTTTTATTTATATTAAAAAAAATCATCTACTACCATGTAAATAACAGTCTCAAAGGTAAATCACAAAGATGATACTCAATATCAAACCTCAACATGAGATATCAATAAATGATTCTCAACTCCTTGCTCTTAGGAGACAACCAAATACGGTGTCGATGTTGTTAAGATAAGGATTTCGGAACAAAATGGCAACAACATAGAGCAATGAATGCAACAAAAACCTCCGATGAACAATCCACAAAAAACAACAATCTCAAAAGTTTTTCCTATTTCTACATGGCTTCTAAAATGGACTAAAAAAAGCAACACTCTACATTACAACCCTACGTAAAAACATCATTTCTCGCATACCGTGAAGCCGGAACCGGAACCGGAACCGGAATCGGGTGCTCTCTAATCCGTTCCAACAAAACCGAAACATGTTCCATTGCCATATCAAGCCGATCCTTGGACTTAGCTGATTCCGCCACAAGATTCGACACCATTCCTTCCAATAACCTCACTCTCTCCCCATGATCACTCAAACTATTCTGAAAAACCTTCACGGATGCATTAACACGCCTCCATCTAAGTGGCATATACCTTTCCGGAATCTGAAAGCAATTTCCAGTGGACAAAACTCGAAGGGCATGCCTACAAAGGATTCCCGAGAACTCAAAGTGATGGCAGCTACAGCTGATGTGGCCTTCGCGTGGGACCCAGTAGACTTTTCGCCCTCCTTCGAGTTTTGTGTGGTGTCTGACTAAGAATCCGTCTTCAAGTTGAAATGATGCGTAATGAGCTGCCATTACGAGTTGTTCTTGGAGCTTTGAGAATGCAAAAGGTGTTAGGATTGAAGCTGCATGGGATTCCATGGGAGCTCCGGTTTTTAAGCAGATGTTTTGGAGATTTTGTTGCATTGTTTGTTGTTCGCCTGCTTGATCTTTGAAGTCCACAGCAACAGCTACCTGATTTTGCATTGTGTTTGTATAATACCATCAAAGATTATCCTATGAACACAGATTGTATAAGATCAAGTAAAAGATAACATACTTGTTCAATGAAGTGTGCGAGTCGAGTTTGGGCACTCAAGAAGCGTTGGATGAAAGCATTGATAGCTTTCGAGTGTCCAGCTGTTGTCATTCCCGCAAAAAAATGGCTTCTCAAATAAGGCAAAGCCCAAAGAGTTCTTGAAGCAAACAACGTGTTGATGTGGCGATTAGTGTGGAGCCCAAACAAATTAACCATGTCTCTCCAACCCATTTCAAAATCTTCAATAGACTCCAAATTATAAAGTCTATAAAATTCATTTTTCCACTCGTTATATCGTTCACCCAACACAGCATTAAACCAAGATGGAAACTTTGCCACTATTAGCCAGATGCAATAAGCATGTTTAGCAGCAGGCATTTCGGCTGCAATAGCTTCTCTTACACATAAAGTTTGGTCTGTTAATATCGTCTGTGGGACCTTCCCGTTCATAAACGCCAAGAACGCCTTTCAAAAAATAAAAATAATTAATTTAGAAACTAATAAGTGGTTGTTTTTTTTTTAATCTCATAAAGCCCTTTATGGGTAAAGCGACTGAATGGGCAATGATGTTGTCATGATAAAGTGTGATTGCTACTTTTCTGGACCGAATAAACCATCCGAATGAGGCTAAATGACCATTTTACCCTTACATTCCAAAAAACAAATATTACAATATTCATCAATTTTAACAAAATTTATCATTTCTAACATGAGGAGTTGCTGTAAAGGGTTAGACTCTTAATACATTAAGACAGGCTTTTTGGCTTAACCCATTAAGTCATTCTGTCCATATTAAGTCTTTGACCCATTAAGCTCATTAAGTCAAAAAGAAACAGGCCCTAAGAGATAAAAAATTTCCATGAGTAAAATGCGAAAATTATCATTTGATTACCTTCAAAGCCCATGAATACGACTTCAAGTTTTCCTCCCGCAAAAGTGCACATCCAAAAAAGCAAGGCATACCATAATTATTCATTCCAACCCAAATGCCAAGTGGCATATCAAAAGCATTCAAACGATGTGTTGTATCAAACACAACCGCATCACCAAACACTTCATATGACTGAACCGATGACGCATACGACCACGCAATATTCTCCAGCCTCCCATTTGCATCCAGTTTAAATTCAAACCGAAAATTAGGATCTTTATCTTTAATATTCCTACACATTCTCAATAAATCAATACTCTCATCCTCCAAATCCACCTTCCTAAACGATTGTATCAAATTCCTCACATCCTTTTCAGTAAACGGAAGATACCCCGGTTCCACACATTTCTCAAGCTCCAAAAGCCTCATCATTTGTTGCACTGAAATCCCGGTTTTTGCAAACATTAATATCCGGTTTTTATCAATATCTGAAATCGTCCGATACGCGGGTAAAAACCGAACTTGATTCGGCTCCAAAAGTTCATGGTTATGATGATTTGAAAAACCGGTTACCCGCCACTCAGGTGCACCTAATTCAGTGGTCTTGCTTATACGCATATAAGCTTGGCATCCACATCTTGAGGACTTTCGGTTTCTTTGTGGTTTATTTTCATTTAGAGTTTTGACAGGAGTGTTGCCCGCTCTATGGCAGACAAAATAGCGTCGCGTAAGACCTTTCCCGACACCATCTTTACCTTCGGTGCGATGGCGACGGATTGAAAACCCGCATTGTTTGGCGAATTCGCTGTAGAATTCGTAAGCGGTGTCATGTGTAGCGAATCGCTGCCCGATGTATGGAATGGTGTCGTTTGTTGTTTCTAAGGATAGTTTGGTTTCGTTTGGTGATTCTTCTGTGCTACTTGTTTCGTCTAATGATAAAGAGCGTTGATCTGAGTGATCATCATACACGACTAACAGATGTTCGGGATCCTCAGACATCATGGTTGATAGTTGTTTGTAGTTTGTGGATGAATGTCAATTCAAATGTTTGCCATTTGATCCTTGAATAAAACAAGTAATGTGAAATGGTCAGGAAAAAGTAATGTGAAATGGATTCGACACGAAAGAACATAACTTGAGGGGACAAGATTAGACAGGACACAGGACTGGACAGGCTTTTTAGGGCTATTTCTGATGATGGGGTTGAGGAGGTCATTCTATGTCTTGGGTGGGACAAGAAAGTTGCAATTTTTGTCCCATTGACATCAGGCTCAGTCTCAGACCGGAGTACAAGGTTGTCTGTTATGTAGTGTCCTATGTAAAAAATGGAGCCTTAGAGACCAAAATAATACTATAGATAATCTATAACAACCACTACGGTTGAATATTTTCTTTTTCAGTGTTCATGATGAATTATGTTTGTAAACATAGATGACCTACGTAAATTATCTATCAAATTACTTTGTTTTCAAGCAAGAAACCTTTCATTGATATCAAAGAATATGCACCATTTGGTAATATTTTAATGAACACTTAGCTCACCATTTTCTTTCCATTTGTTTCAGAATGCAACTAGAAACAGAGGGTATAAAGTATGAACAAGTCTGGTAAAATGCACTCTTGAAGCAATAGCCACTAAGTTCAAACGGTTGTTATAAAATTTCCATGGATTC